TTTTAAATAGATTTAACTTTTTTGAAATTTTTTGAATTACATAGATTAAAATATATATTGTAAACATGTTAAATTAATTTCAGTGAAGATGTACCAAAAGTGACAATTGTCATATTGTAAAATATTTATTTTTTAATCGCGTCAAAAATATTGACGGCCATTTTAGATTTGTAAAAAATCTATTTTATATATTTAATAGTTAAAATATATTTAAATGATTTTCTATTCTTTTATATAATTTTTTTAAGGAATTTATATTTTACTATTCTTTATATCCTGTATATTTTTATTTTTTTACTCATATTTATTCATTTTCTCCTTATGGTTAAAATGATATTGTTTGTTCAACTCCATCCTGTAGAAAATTGTAATTAAGAACAATGTACACAAATTTTCTTCATTTACCATCTTATTATTGGGATCAAGCCTTAAAATTTTAATAAACAAGCTTAAGCTAATCACAGATATGAGGGTTTCTATTACAACAAAGGATCTCAATCATTATCTCTATAACTATTATTATGCGATCATTGCCTGTTGGCTCATCTTAAAATCTTCATTCCTATCTCAAGCCTTAAAATTTTAATAGACAAAAGCTAAATTAAGTCAAAGCATCTCAATAAATATCTATTACTGAAATATGTTTTAATCATTTCCTGTTGGCTTCTTAATCGTCATTTTATTTTTTAGATGCATATATAATTTTATTTCTATCTGATTAAAATTACATTTATATTTATGGAACACAAAATATTTTATAAAATCAAATTATATTTTATATTATTCTTTTAAACTGGAATAACTATTTTTAGTTGTATATATATTTTTTATTGCAATAAAAGACTGATTTCTTAATACTATATAAATAAAAAGGATATATCATTTTATTTCAAAAATACAAGAAAAATATTATAAAAAGAAAATATATCCCAATAACGGAAACATGATTATTACAAATTGAGTATATATTATATTATAACACGATTAAAATGATCAGAAGTCGCTTATTAAATATATATTTAAATTAAAATTTTTTATACAGTTATTTTTTAATAATGAGGAGTATGTAATGTATTTCATCTCATTTCCATTTTTGCAATATATAATGATAGGTGTTTGAAAAAATGTGGCAGATGCTACAATATCTAGTTCATCTGCCCACGTTCCAAGTTGATATTTTTTTGTATCAACTATATGTGTGATTATATCTTTTCCAATAAAATCACTAAAAATATCTTTATTTTCAAAATGCATCATATAAGAGGTAATAGACCCCCTTATAATTGCATGGTGATCTTCACTCCCTGAGATTTCTTTGCTTAAGCACCGATAAAAACAATTACCGTCACCAAGAACTATCTCAAAATTAGGAGGATAACTTAAATTTTTAGTTTTATCATTGCTTTCTGTTAATAAAGAATATGGGATGCCCAACCTCTTAGCATGATATTTCTTCCATGCATAATTGGTGGCAAGGTAAGGTAACGGAGAAGTATCAGGCTCCTTATATAATATTATCTTAATATCGGTAGAATCTTCTTTTGCCTCATCTCCGTTATTAGATTGTTGGATGTAGGGCTTAAGGTTACACCCGTTATATTTTTGCTTTAATGGAGTATTATCTTTATTACTCACATTATAAATATCTTTATCATGTATTTTATCAATTACATATGGACCAAGCCAAGGATCAGACATTTTTCCACCCTTTCGATCCGCACGACGGGAGTTCCAGATTAGGACCAGTTGTCCAACTTCATACGATATTTTATCCTTTTGCCTTTTTTGATAATCTCTTTTTTGTCTATCTTGGGCAACAATTATATTTTCTTTCGCCTTTTTCCATACGACTGACATGCTCATTATTCTATTTAACAATTCACTCTCGTCAAAGTCATTATCAATATTATTTACATAAGAGTTTTCAGGATCATTATTTATTTCCTTAACAATATCAGGCTTAGTTGTGGAATTTAAGTCTGATGGAAGCTTTGCATTCCGACCATATAACATATAAAATGGGGTAAATCCTGTTGATTTGTGTACACTTGTTCTCATTGCAAACAGTACACCTGGAAGAACTTTAGGCCACTGGGTCTGATCATTTCCTAAAACCTTTAACATTAGGTTTTGAATAGTGCGATTATTTCTCTCAGTTAAGCCATTAGCTTGAGGATGGTAAGCACTGCAACTGCGTTGCTCTGTCCCGTTCATTTTATACAGTCTAGTAGCCATCTCATTTACAAACTCTCTTCCTTGATCATTGATTTGTATCTATATTGTATAAAATGAAAAGTTTATAAGATAGAATTATCATAAATTCATATTTTTTAATCGATTTGTATTTATATAATTTGATTTACATTTCCGCAGCCATGGCGGCAAATCAGACCGTATATAAATTTACATGTCTCATTGGCTGTTTTGGATTTCATGGGTTCTGCCTCAACCCATTTTGTGAAATAATCAGAGGCAACGGCAATACACGTGTAGCCTTCTTCTGAAGTGGGCAGGCTGCAAAGATCAATTCCTATTTGAGCCCATGGAAAAGGTGGTACATCTATTGGATGCAAAGTGGAAGAAATTTTGGTAAATCTTATATTAGCCTTCTGACATCTATCACATGATTTTATAAAATCAATAGTGTCTTGAAATAATTTTGGCCACCAATATCTATAAACACAAAATTAAGAATTCTAACATCATAATAAGTACCTTTCAGAGAGTTTAAGTTGAGTTTTATTAATACCTAGGTGGGCACCAATAGCTTTAGACTCTAAGGATATATCTGATCCTTGGTGAATAATAGATATTACTCTTTGTTTCTCTTCTTCTTCCATTATTACTAAAGCTAAAAAATAAATAGAAAATGATTATTTTGTGATCATATTTACTTTCTTTATTCTTTATTTTTCTGTAAAGAACATCATCTTTAACAATAAATTTGCTTGCCATGCATTTATAATTACTTTTTTTCCCTGGATGGTTTTTAAGAAATATAGGATACTTTCCTGTAACTAAATATTCCTTTATTGTATTATATTTTTCTGTTAATGCTTGATATAAATGTATAATTATAATTTAAATGTACCTATTTGATTCATGAAAAATTTTGTGAAGTTCTCTATAATTGTTGATTTAAAGGTTCTTTTATTGATACTGTATTCTTTTTATAAATATAAAATAATAATTTAAATGTACTAATTTGTTCTCCTGTATCTATATTAATTGATATAAATTTATAATTATAATTTAAATGTACTAATATGTTCTCCTGTGTTTCTATATAAGTAGTAATTTGTAAACTCTATTTTAGTATTTTAATGGATATAAATATAAAATTATAATAAATGTACTAATTTGTTCTCCTGTATCTATATTAATTGATATAAATTTATAATTATAATTTAAATGTACTAATATGTTCTCCTGTGTTTCTATATAAGTAATAATTTGTAAACTCTATTTTAGTATTTTAATGGATATAAATATAAAATTATAATAAATGTACTAATTTGTTCTCCTGTATCTATATTAATTGATATAAATTTATAATTATAATTTAAATGTACTAATATGTTCTCCTGTGTTTCTATATAAGTAATAATTTGTAAACTCTATTTTAGTATTTTAATGGATATAAATATAAAATTATAATAAATGTACTAATTTGTTCTCCTGTATCTATATTAATTGATATAAATTTATAATTATAATTTAAATGTACTAATATGTTCTCCTGTGTTTCTATATAAGTAGTAATTTGTAAACTCTATTTTAGTATTTTAATGGATATAAATATAAAATTATAATTTAAATGTACTAATTTGTTCTCCTGTATCTATATTAATTGATATAAATTTATAATTATAATTTAAATGTAATAATATGTTCTCCTGTGTTTCTATATAAGTAGTAATTTGTAAACTCTATTTTAGTATTTTAATGGATATAAATATAAAATTATAATTTAAATGTACTAATTTGTTCTCCTGTATCTATATTAATTGATATAAATTTATAATTATAATTTAAATATACTAATTTGTTCTCCTGTGTACTAATTTGTTCTCCTGTTTCTATATATGGATATTCAAAAATTTGTAAACGGTAGTAACAATTTGTATAAAAATTTCAATTTGATTGTTCTCCTGTTTCTATATATGGATATTCAAAAATTTGTAAACGGTAGTAACAATTTGTATACAATATTCTTAAAAAATTTCAATTGTAAACGGTAGTAACAATTTGTATACGGTATTCTTAAAAAATTTCAATTTGATTCGTAAAAGCTGAGGTTCGGTCATAAATTATCAATACCGTATTGTTTTTACAATATAGTAGAATCAATACCGTATTGATTTTAGATGGTATTGTTTCTACAATATTACACCGGTCTAACTTTTAAATAATTTGGGCACTAGGAAAAAAGTAAGTCCCATTCCCTAAGGCAAAAAACTCAAATCGATGTTCTATTTGGTAATCACAAATTTTACTTAGGCACGTATTTATCCAACACTTGCAAAACTCCCCCACTTATATTATTCATTAATAATAAAATTATTAACAAATGTACTGCTAATTTTTTTTATAACATGGCTTTTGATTTTAACATTTTCATTTTTCAACCTTTTTTTATAATTTAAAATTTATAAATAAATGCCCTATATTTTCTTAAAACAATTTATTAACTATTTTAAAATTAGTGATATAATTTTAATATTTATAATTATTAATTAAAATTTATTTTTAATCTTTCAATTCAATGATTATTTTATGTGTTAAATATAAAGATTTTTAAATTTTAATTTTTTCCCACTAGACTTTGTAAAGCTACATTATTTGTGTTTCATAATAGATTATATTATTTTTAAATTATAAATATTTATTATATATTAATAAAAATTTTAGATTGATTTATTTTAAAAAAATTTCGAAAATATTCAATTTGGAATCAATTTCATATGAGGTTTACATTTTGACGTTGCTTGTTATATTTATATAATCTTTAAGCACATACATTGAAAATTTATATTAAAGTTTATAATTATATAGAGAAAGTTAGGTGCTTCATCTTTTATTATATTATATAAATTAATTTTTTTTTTACGTTTAGGATGAAGCACCTGGCCTAATGATACAATCACTACAAATTGTTATCATTTTTTTTTAATATAAAAACTTTAATTATGGCTGATACAGAGAATGCAAATAGCGAAATGAATAAGGAAAAGAATGATGCATCTTATCAATATTTTAATAATGTTCAACAACCTGTAACCTTAGATCAAAATATTAATCCATCAAATATTTTATTTAATAGTGCAACAAAAGCTTACACAGTTCCATATTCAACTATTAATACTTATAATATAATTAATTCTCATAATCCTACACCCTTATATATATCATCTCAAAATTCTAATGAACAGTTTGGTAATTTTAATCCCTATTTCCCTCTGAATTCTAGTACACATTTTTCACAAAATTTATTAAAACAAACCAAGATAGAAAATAAAAAAAGTGATAATTTAATAGATTTTGCAAAAAAATTTTCTAAGATTTATCAGTCATATTTGGATAAATCAGTTCCACATACTTGGGGTCGTTGGATAACTACATTTGTTTTATATTGTGTGTTTGCTCTTAGGATAATAACTACAAGTGGGTGGTATATTGTGACATATGCTCTTGGTATATATCTCTTAAATCTTTTAATTGCCTTCTTATCTCCCAAAATTGATCCCTCTGGAAATGCTTATTCAAATTATTATTTTGATGATGATACACTTTTATCCAATTATTATCAAGATGATTCTCACTATTCAAATTCTAATCAATCATCTTTACCCACAAAGTCTGATGATGAATTTAAACCATTTATAAGACGCTTACCAGAATTTAAATTTTGGCTTTCTGCTACTCAGGCAGTTCTGATATCCTTTTTCTGCACTTTATTTGAAGCTTTTGATGTACCTGTATTTTGGCCCATATTGGTCATGTATTTTATTGTACTTTTTGTTTTGACAATGAAAAGGCAAATAGCTCACATGATTAGATATAAGTATTTGCCTTTTAGCCACGGAAAACGGCGTTACCATAATTCACTTCCACCTAATTAAAAATTAATTATCAATTGAAGACCTACATATTCTATAATTTTGTCACATCCAATTTTAAATAGCATAAAAGAAACAATTTGATAGATTATAATTGCTTATGTTATATTTATTGGTACAATATTTAAATTAACAACTTTATAATATATTTGAATGCTATGAAATAAATATATTATAATGATACATATGGATTTTATAAAATAAATTTTTTTTAGCAAATAAAATATATTATCAAAATGTTTTTTTATTTTAGTTTTGCATATTAAGATGTTCATGCTAAATTTAGTTTATTTAAAAATTTTATTAGTATAGTGATAGCATCTAGTATATCAAATTCCAAACACTATTTTGGTAGAGCATTCAATGATAAAATATTAGAAGTTTATCAAATGCTGGATTTAAACTCAGTTGAAGATATAAAACCCATTGCCAAAATGTTTCCTTAAGTTTCTTAAAATTAATATATACATATTTGTTTTAGAATCTTGATTAAAAAGGCTACAAGTTTAGCTTTTAATGAAATTATGAGGGAGGATGGCAATATTAGTATGCTATGTGTATTAGTAGCTGATAAAGCAGGTATGGTTTACAAATTTGAATTACCCGAAGGTAAGGATTTCAGATGTATAAATAATTCACAAATTTCACCTGGTCAAAATATTAATGGAGACATCAAATTTGAAGATAGTAACAAGGTTAATAAACCTATTTTGGGGCATGTTTCTATGTTGCTTGACATGGTAAAAATTATTATGTTTATACAATTATTTATTAACTATATATTTGGTAGTTCAACCTTGCTAAACTAAAAATAGGGCATGACTAAAATACGCGCCCCCTATGAAAGAAGCTTAAATTAAATTATATTAATATCGTATTTAGCTCAAAAGATAAGTCAGAAAATGTTTTTTTTTGATTTAAAAAAAAATGGTAATAAAATTTAAAAAAATTAATTTTTTTACATCATTAAAATACACACCCATTAAAGAAGCTTAATTTATAAAAAATGAACGTAGAATCATATAGAGCTTATAAAAAGGTGTAAAAAAATGATCTTTGAATATAAAATCGGGTTCGGTTTTACAGCTGTATGAATTGAGAATACAATAAGAACAACTAGTTTAACTATGCAAACCTGAAGGCAATAAAAATCTCATTATTATATATTTGGTATAGAAACTCTAGTTCCACTCACCATCAGCATTTCTCCTTCTTCATCTTAATACCCACAATACAATAATACTATCACTAATGATATAGAAACCTTTTTTTTTGCAATCAAAGCTTTTATATCATGATCACATATAATAAACTGATTTGAAGATAGAAAATAAAAATTATAGAAATATTCCAGATAGAAAAATTTAAATTTATCAGTAAATGGATTATATATTTAATGACATTTGTCAGCAAAAATTTCACCATCAGCATTTCTCCTTCTTCATCATAATTCCCACAATACAATAATACTATCACTAATGATATAGATCAATCACCCCTTTATGAAACCTTTTTTTTGCAATCAAAGCTTTTATATCATGATCACATATAATAAACTGATTTGAAGATAGAAAATAAAAATTATAGAAATATTCCAGATAGAAAAATTTAAATTTATCAGTAAATGTATTATATATTTAATGACATTTGTCAGCAAAAATTTCATCATATCCTACTTTTATGAATTTTTAACTTTAATTTACAGAACAATATATAAACTTTGCCATAAACATATCCGTGAATTTTAACCTTAAAGGTTTTCCCTCCTTGAGGCATATTATACCACTCTATTGCATCTTGGTGTTCAAGTATACACACTTTGGTACCACTCACCATTAGTATTTCTCCCTCTTCATCTCAATTCCCACAACACAATAATGCCATTATTAATGATATAGATAAATTACCCCATTGTAAAACCATCTTTGCAATCAAAGCTTACATATCATGATCACATATAATAAACAGATTAAAGATGGACAATGAAAATTATAAAATCATTCCAGAAAGAAAATTTTAAATTTATTAGTAAATAGATTATATAATTTATGACAACTGTCAACAATCTTCACACTCTACTTATATGAATTTTAATTTACAGAACAATACATAGATTTATCCATAAACACATCTGTGATTTTTAACAATAATGATATTCACCTTCACCTTAAATATGAAAAAAATTCCTTATCCATGAGCCTACCAGACCTCAGCACAGCACCTACCAAATGCAACTGCCCATTATGCAATAAACTTATTAAAGTAACCAAATTGGGGCTATTGCCATCTCATAGTAACCAGAAAATAAAGTGTCCTCAATCTGGGCTACCCATATTTTCACCAGCAATTCCTAGAACCCTTAATGCCTTCTCTGCCCTTGCCCTCACAACTAAACAACCCATAGTCACCATTCCCACATCATTGACTGATGTGCTCACTTACCCAATAATCCCTACCTTCACTGTCACAAATGCTTCGACGTTTGACCCAGCCGACTCAAATGTAGAAATATTTCTAACGATGATCCTACCAGCAAAAAATCCCTGACCCAACAAATTAAGGATGCTACTATCTACCCCTTACCCATCAATCACATTACCACATATTTTACGAGTGACGACACAGATAAAAATAGAAATCACAAAAATGACCTGCTCACCAAGACCAGGCTAATATCTAAAAAATTGGATAACCTGAATGTTAAATCCGCCATACGTCTGGCAACCTCCGACAATAAACTGGCTCCCTATGATTTAGTAACTTATCAGGCCCTTCTCCTAAAACACCAATCACACGATTTTAAAAATGAAATACCGACTTACCCTGAAACTCCTCTAATTGCGGCCACTTATACCGCAAGCGACGTTGGAAAGGCTATTCTCTCCTTCAAACGCGATTCCTCACCTGGGTTCGATGGGTTTCGCCCAATATTCTTACAAGACCTACCGCACCTTACATAACACAACAATGTGACGTTCTAGAAAAAATTACCCAATTAGTCAACCGTATGCTTACTGGAGGCATACCATACCACCCGCCATTATTCCACTGCTATACGGAGCTAAACTCATCGCTCTCCAATAAACCCAATAAAGATATTCGCCCAATCGATATTGGAACCACTTGGCGCCGATTAACTGCCGAACTTGTAATTAGCAGATTTTTGTTCACAATATCCAATCACCTTTGCCCGAATCAATTAGGAGTCAACGTAAAAGGTGGATGTGAGGTATTCCTTCACATGACCCGGATGTACCTACAAACGGATCCCACCAACGATATCCTAGTCAAAATAGACTTCTCGAACGCCTTTAACTCTCTAAGGCGTGGAGCTTTTCTAAATCCTATTCTCACCCTCTACCCAGAATACTCACAATTTATCTTCGATTGTTATGCTAATCCCTCACATCTTCAATTCGGAGATAAATTGATTCCTTCTAACGAAGGTATACAGCAAGGTGACCCTCTAGGTTCCTTTTTCTGTCTGGGCATTAATAATCTAATACGAGAAATTAATGACCAATGCAACCTAAATCTCCATAACTGGTATATCGACGATGACATACTAGGCGGCTCACCGACTGAAGTCACGAAGGCAATCCAAATAATAAAATCCAGCGAGAAAAGTTTGGGACTTCGAGTTAATCAAGACAAAAGCGAATATTGTCCTCTTGGAATCATTGACCTTAACCACGATACTATGTTCAATCATACACCATTGAATGTTTTAACACATCTCGGATCTCCAGTAGGTAAAGATGAGTCCTTTATCAAGTTCTTTGCCGATATCCTACGAGAGATATCCCTTATGCGAGATACACTATCTCGCCTCCCAGCTCACCAAGCTTCTTATTAAAGAACTACCTTTTAATTCCAAGAATTTTATATACACTTCGAGCATCTCGGATCTTTCAATATGACGTCAACCTCGCTTCACATGAACTGGAGATTAAACGCCTAACAGAAGATATACTCAATCTTAAATTTGGGGAGTTATCATGGCTACAGGCTACCTTACCAACCAAATCCGGCGATATTGGTATAAGGTCACCTTCCCTACTTTCTGTTAGTGCGTTCATATCCTCTCGCTTGTCGTGCGAGCCCATCATTCAAACGCTAACAAAACATCCTGACCCCTTACTCCAACAGGCAATTGATCTATGGAAGTCCCTCTCATTAGTCGATCCTCCATCGTCGGCATTACAGAAGGATTGGGATAAACCTCTAGTTGGCAACTCCGTTGCATTCCTTAAATCGAGGAGCCAACCAGAGGACCATTCTCTACTCTTCTCCATTTCCGAAGGTAGTGGATACGAATTTCTTGAAGCCTTCCTATCCCGAAACCTTGACCAGCTCCTAAGCAATGATGAGTTACGTCACGCCATCGGTCTTAGACTGAATTGCGATATGGTAATACCTTATAACTGTATCCTCTGTCAAACGTCGGTCAATTCTAAAGGCCGTCACTCTCTACACTGCAAGCGCTGTAAAGGCAGATTCATTAGGCATTCAAAATGCAATGATACCATTGCCAGGGCCTTAAAATCCGCCGGCATCCCATCAACCCTCGAACCTACTGGCCTTTACAATTCAGATGGTAAGCGGCCGATGGTTCGACTATGATCCCTTGGAAGAGGGGGGGAATTCCTAACTTGGGATTTCTCATGCATCGATCCTCTTGCCCCTTCCAATATAAATAGAGATGCCACACTAGATGCCGAGGCAAATAAATTAGCTAAATATTCGCCATCTCTTCCCGCCAATTATACATTCCTACCATTAATCGCCACTACCTTAACGTCGTTCGACTCTCATGCCCTAGACTTCTTTAAAGAGCTAGGAAAACGGATCTCTGCTAGGACCGAGGATCCCAACGAGGGATTCTACCTACCCCAACGATTAGCCATAAACATAGTAAAATACAATTATTTCAGCTTTATTTTTTCAATATCCGAATCGCCGTAATTGAACATCCTATGCATAGTATAGACTTTGGCCTTGTTGCATATTATTATAATGTTAGCGCTAAATTTATATTAATGTATAGTTAATCTATGTTATTTTATTTTATTAAATTATTTTACTAATAATGTAATAATATCTTATTATTATAATGATTATATATTTTAATATGATAAATATTTTTAATTTATATTAGGTTATTGAACAGTATATTTATAAATTACACTTTACTTCAATTTATACAAGCATTTATCTTTACCTTTTTTTTATTATTCAAATTGAATTAATCGTATTAATTGAATTAACTTTTGGTGTATGATTTTTATATTAACCTTTTTTTTAACTCATAATTATTTAATATAAATACCACGATATCCTTTTATGTTTCCAATAATTTTGTGATAATATTTATCTTATACTTTTTAAAATTTAAATAAAATCCATTTAAATATCATATCATATTTTATAACTTAGTGGGCTTTTGAAAAAACAAATTGTTTTTTGACTAAACTACGCGCCCCCTATCAAAGAAGCTTATTTCATAAAAAATTAAAGCATAATCCTATTAAGCTCATTAAGAGGAATCAAAAAATGTTAATATTAAGTTTATAAATAATTTATAACTTATTGAGATTTGGAAAAAACAATTAATTTCTTTTTTTTTTGACTAAACTACGCGGCCCCGTTAAATATACATTATTTTAAAAAAATGAATACTGAATCATGTATAACTTTTCAAGGAGATTCAGAAAATCTTATTATTTATTTTTTTAAAAAAAAAATTTTTATTATTGAAGTGTTTTATTAAATAAGTAAAATAAGTAAAGTAAGTCAAAGTATATTTAATACAAAATATCACGTATATATATATAATGAATTCAATCCTTCAGGTTATGTAATTTACAAACGAAAAGTTAATATTATATTCAATTTAAATTCAATTTACAAATACATTTATATTACAGTTCTCCCCACTATAAATTGAATTCGTCGTGATAACGTAGTGGGGGTTTCGAAACTCTTTTTTCAAGAGTTGTATTCTCATGTTCTGCCTTTTCCACTTCTTCGGTTAACGTAACGGGTATTTCCTTCTCTTGTGTATGTGCATCCCTCAATTGATCTGCATGCTTGTTTTTAACGATCCCCTCTGATTTCACATCGTACAATATTGCGCTTTTTCGTTGTAACACTTTTCCTTCATGCCACCCTGCTGTCCTTTCGTTTGCTATCCTAACTTTTTGCTGCTCTTCAAACTCCCGAGGTTCAACACTTCTATCTTTGTAGTACTTTTGTTTCCATAGAGCGTTTTCCTTCCTTTCTCTCGTTGATAATTTCCACTGATCTAATGTCGTCCTAAGCGACCTTCCAAACATCATTTCGGCAGGGAATTTACCAGTAGTTGCATTGGGAGTATTACGGTGAGTAATTAAAACATTCGCTAAATTTAACTGGTCCGGAGTCCCACATCTCCTTCCAGCATAGAAACGCGTCTTTATCGTCTGTATATATCGTTCAGCCAAACCATTCGATTTGGGGCTATAAGGGGCCGATCTAAAATGTTTTATATTGTTTTTAAAAAGAAACGATTTGAATTCAGACCCAGTAAACTGAGTACCGTTATCTGAGACAATGTAGCGAGGTAACCCAAATCTAGCGAAATAATTACGCAGATTATTTATTACACTCGCCGAATTAATATGTGTTAAAATTGCAACTTCAACCCATTTGGTAAAAGCGTCTACGCAAATTAACTAATATTTTCCAGATACGGGGCCTGTCAAATCAATGTGTAATCGTTCCCAAGGTCGGGTAGGAATGTTCCAATTGTATAATGGCACTTTAGCTCCCGGCCTTCCTACTTGACAACTCTTACAACATTTAACAAAGTCTTCAACATCAGTATCGAGATTTGTCCAAAAAACGTAATCACAATGATTTCATCCCCACTATCCCAGGATGTCCTCGATGAATCACATATAAAACCTCCTTTTTTAAAATATCTGGAATAATAATTCTATCATTATAAAATAATAATCCTTCTTCGAACGAAATATTATCTTTAATCGAAATATATTTTTTTACAATCTCCGAATAATTATTTATATTATCAATATACCAATGATTTTTTATTAATTTAATAATCTCTTTTAGGTTTATATCATTGCTCGTTTCACTTACGACTTTACTGCGAGTGAAAGATAAATCTTCTATTAAATTAATTTTTAATCCTCTGATTTCTTCTTCGAATTTTTTTGTAACATCATTGGTTTTTGCTTTCTCTACCCCCAAACGGGACAGAGCATCAGCACATTTGTTATGATTACCTGGTCTATATATTATCTCATAATCATAATTTAATAGCTTAGTCGCCCACCGTATTAAACGGTTATTTGTTATTTTGTTAAGATCTCTTTTATCACCTAAAATATATTGTAATGGTTTATGATCAGTAACCAAGATAAAATGTCTTCCAAAAATATATTGATGAAACTTCTCGATAGCGAACATGATCGCCGAAACCTCCCGATCAATTGTGGCATAATTCTTTTCAGCCGCCGAAAGTGTCCTCAATGCGTAAGCAGTCGGTTTCTCCTGGCCAGTAAGAAATCGGTGTGCAATAACAGCTCCTAGACCATCTTCGGAAGCGTCACAAGAAATCACGACAGGGATATCGGCTGAATAAGGAATTATTGTATCTTCTTTTGACAATATATTTTTAACTTTAGTAAATATTTCATTTTCTTTAGCTAACCAAAACCAACCAACATTTTTACTCGTTAGTCGGTGTAAAGGCGCACAAATAGAATGCAAATTTTTAATAAATGCCTCATGATAATTCACTATTCCAAGAAATGAACGTAGTTCTTTAACATTGGAAGGTGTTTTAAAATTTTTTATAGCGCTAATCTTATCTTCTGTAGGGTGAATTCCGAAACTGTCAATAACATGACCTAAATAAGTGACTGACTTTTCTCCGATTTTAATTTTATCGGTCGTCGTGGTCAGTCCAGCCTTCTCAAATCTTCTTAATACTTCTTCCAAATTAACTATGTGATCGGAATTATTCTCACCTGCAATAATTATGTCGTCTAAAAATACACTAACCATAGGAATTCCTTTTAATAGGTTTTTCATAAAGCGTTGGAATATTATCGGAGCGCTAGTCAAACCAAATGGAATTCGTTGGTATCGGTAATAACCGACATGTGTCGAAATTACTAAAAGGTCCCTACATTCTGGACTAACTCCGAATTGTAAAAATGCATCTCTTAAATCTATTGTTGAAAATATTTTACCACCCGCGATTTTACTTGTTAGGTCGACGAAAGTTGGTAGTAAATCGTTATCGATCGCTAGATATTTGTTGATTGTTAAACGAAAATCTCCGCATATCCGTACGGCACCGGATTTCTTTAAGATATTAACCGTTGGCGTAGCCCAAGTGATTGGAGTTATTGTTGGATCCACCTTCTTGATAACGTCTTCGTCTAAAAGTCTGTCCAACTCAGGCAACGGAAAAGGAACTCTTCTTGCTGGTAATGCAATCGGTAACGTGTTCGGTTCTATTCGGATGATTGCCTTTTGCAGTTTGATTTCACCTAATTTTTTTTTAAAAACTTGAGGGAATTTTGAAGCAATCGTATTTAAAGAGGGAACATTCATATTTATTTTATTAATACGAACTTCTTCCGGTAGTTTTATATCAAATTCTCTAATGAAAGGCATCCCAAAAATAAGGGAATTCTCCCCTTTAATTACCCAAATAAGTAAAAATTTCGAAATATTTTTTATTTTGACTTCTACGGTACATTTACCTAGTACTTCGATTTGGATATGATTATATCCCACTAATTTATAAGCCGGTGATAGTTGTGGTCTGCCAATACGATTCCAGGTGACCTCATCAATCACACTACACGCGGCGCCGGTATCAAACTCCATAGCTAGCTGCAACCCATTTATCTTCGCATCGATGGTTGCTTTATTTGAAAATGACAGGCGAGGTGTCCGTGGCAGAATCATTTGTATGGCATGGGTTCTACAATCTTTCGCTATGTGGTTTGCCTTACCGCAACGAAAGCATATCACTTTCTTTTGAATAGAGTTAGGTTTGATACTAGGTCTATAATTATTATTAGGAATATAATTGTTACTAAAGTGTTTATTATTATTGAATCTATTGACGTTTGTATAATTATTATTTTTAAAATAATTATTTTTCGAACCCTGTGTTGGCTTATTTTTAATTATTTTATTAACTTCAGTCTGGGTTTCATTTTCCAACGAAGACAGCGCGATCGCTAAACGCACGGTCTCTTCAAAAGTAATATTGCCTTCGATAAACTTTGACCGAAGTTCTTTGTCCAACTCAGGTAAGCCTACTCTTAGGATAAATATATCTCTTAAAAGTTCATCAAAAGGCGGTTTAAAATTACAAAGAGAACAGACAGTTTTAACCCTAATTGAAAAGTCAATAATCGTCTCACTACATCTTTTTAACGTAAAAAAATTTTCCTATTTACGAAAATGCTCGAACTATCCTTGAACACCAAATTTAAGCTTTTTATAAAAGTATCATAATTTATCATCTCTAAATTTATTGGAAAGTGAAAGTTCTTAATTTTGATAAGATTGTCTGTTCCGATATAGGCTAAAAGCAGGTCTTTTTTTGTATTTAAATCTATAATATTTCTTACTTTATAAATTAACTCCAAGTAAAATAAGTAGTCCTGAATATTTACTTTTTCTTTGACGAATTCTGGAATATGGAATTTAATAGGAACTACTTCCATTGAGTCTTTAACTTTAATAGGAACTACTTCCATTGAATCTTCAACTTTAATAGGAACTACTTCCATTGAGTCTTTTACTTTAAATTTAATAAATCAAATAAATCTTCTCTAAAAATCGTCGCCAATGAAGTGTTTTATTAAATAAGTAAAATAAATAAAGTAAGTCAAAGTATATTTAATACAAAATATCACGTATATAAATATAATGAATTCAATCCTTCAGGTTATGTAATTTAAAAACGAAAAGTTAATATTATATTCAATTTAAATTCAATTTACAATTACATTTATATTACAATTATCAAAAAAAATTTTTTTGGACTAAACTACGCGCCCCCTATCAAAGAATTTTAATTTATAAAAAATGAACGTAGAATCATATAGAGCTTATTAATAAATGTTAATATTAAGTTTATAACTTATTGAGATTTGGAAAAAACACTTTCTTCTTTTTTTGACTAAACTACGCGCCCACGTTAAATATACATTATTTTTAAAAAATGAATACAGAATCATGTATAACTTTCAAGAGATTCAGAAAATGGTATTATTTATTTTTTATGAAAAGAATGATAAACATAGGATAGAAAATTTTGAGGTTGGGAAATAGGGATTTCTATCTGCAATATTTGTCAAAAATAAATAATACCATTTTCTGAATCTCCTTGAAAAGTTATACATGATTCTGTATTCATTTTTTAAAAATAATGTATATTTAACGGGGGCGCGTAGTTTAGTCAAAAAAAGAAGAAATTAAGTGTTTTTTCCGAATCTCAATAAGTTATAAATTATATAAACTTAATATTAACATTTTTTGATTCCTCTTAATGAGCGTAATAGGATTATGCTTTAATTTTTTATGAAATAAGCTTCTTTGATAGGGGGCGCGTAGTTTAGTCCTAAAAAATTTTTATAATAAAATATTTTTTTAAAAAAAATAAATAATACCATTTTCTGAATCTCCTTAAAAAGTTATACATGATTCTGTATTTATTTTTTTAAAATAATGTATATTTAACGGGGGCGCGTAGTTTAGTCAAAAAAAGAAGAAATTAAAGTGTTTTTTCCAAATCTCAATAAGTTATAAACTTAATATTAACATTTTTTTACATTTTTTAATAAGCTCTATATGATTCTACAATCATTTTTTATAAATTAAGCTTCTTTGATAGGGGGCGCGTAGTTTAGTCCAAATTTTTTTTTTTTGATAATAAAAATATTAAAAAAAAAAATAATACCATTTTCCGAATCTCCTTGAAAAGTTATACATGATTCTGTATTCATTTTTTAAAAATAATGTATATTTAACGGGGGCGCGTAGTTTATTTAAAAAAAGAAGAAATTAAGTGTTTTTTCCAAATCTCAATAAGTTATAAATTATTTATAAACTTAATATTAACATTTTTTGATTCCTCTTAAAGAGCTTAATAGGATTATGCTTTAATTTTTTATGAAATAAGCTTCTTTGATAGGGGGCGCGTAGGGGCGCGTAGTTTAGTCAAAAAAAAATGTTTTTTCAAAAGCCCACTAGGTTTTTAAAATATGATATTAACATTTTTTTTACACCTTTTAATAAGCTCTATATGATTCTACGTTCATTTTTTTTATAAATTAAGCTACTTTTATAGGGGGCGCGTAGGGGCGCCTATTTTAATGGTGTAAAAAAATTAATTTTTTTAAATTTTATTATGTTACCATTTTTTTTAAAATAAAAAAAAACATTTTCTGACTTATCTTTTTAAGCTAAATACGATTCTATATTTATATAATTTAATTTAAGCTTCTTTCATAGGGGGCGCGTATTTTTGTCATGCCCTAAAAATACAATATAATTATCTTTAGTGTGTTGATTATGGATCTCAAAAATCATAATTCACGTATGTTGTATCTAGCATTCTGGGCTTAATCTAGATTCAAGATCCAAGCTTTAAGACTGATCCTCAACTCCATTCCCAAAAATTATTTAAATTAATATATACTTTTTCAGCAAATGTTTTTCCTAAAATTTTAAACAGAGTTACCTATTAGGCCTATTCAAAAAACAAATAATATTGATTAATACATTATTTGTTGGCCTATTCAAAATACTGAATAGTACATTATTATTCAATTTTTACCCAGGGTATCCTAAAACAAATTATTCAATTCTAATTTATTATATTAGTATTTTACAAATACGAATAAGGAAAATATATTATTCTTCAAATAAATTTTTATTTATTATTCAATTGAATTCATATAATTTGATTTTTTTATATTTCAAAATGTATAGTATTTATTTGAAACTATTCGTAAATATTTAAACTTATTCATAAATATCTAAAATTATTTGTATTTAATATCCTTACGACATTTTATTTTTTTATCACTTTAAATTCTAATCTAATTTTTCCAGTGTTTAAAAAATCTTTTGAGCAAAAATCTTTGAAGATTTTTTTAAAGAAGAAAGGTTTTTGATCAAATTTTACATAAAATTCCAAATATGTTTAGTAAAAAAATATTTATAAGTAAATCTTTTATAATTTTCATGGACAAAAAATCCTTCAAGATGAAATCACAAATTTAAATATTCAAAAAAATTTTTTCCATTTTTGAAAATACTTTTTTTATAGAATTGAATAAAAAATACAAATCAAATACCAATAATGCAAATAGTGTTGTTAAACGGCTCGATTTGAGCCGATTTTTAAAAACGGCTAACTCGGTATTTTATCCAGAAAATTATTACGCAAGCCTGAAAATTTTGATCATAGATGGCACAAAGGTTTGAAATCTATTCGCAAAATCTAGAAGCTTAGGCAATATTTATCTGTCTAAAATATTAAGTTAGCCGTTTTTAAAAATCGGCTCAAATTGAGCCATTTAACAACACTAAATGCAAATATTCGATTCATATTTTTGTAGCTATAACCCAGTGTTTGAACCCGATTAAAATATTAAACGGGGTTCAGTTCATGGGAATATTTTTCAACTCAAGTTTGGTTCTGGGTACAGCTTGGGTTTAGGATTATTTGATTTTTAATCATAATTAATAAAAATTATAGAAAATAATTTTTACCTTGACTTGCCCACTTTAATTTTCACTTAAACTTTAAATGATTTAAATAAGTTTACAAAAACCAACTTACCTGAAAATTTTTTAAATGAATAATTTTGATTCAAATTTTACTTAAATTCAGTGTGTTAGCTGATTTTGATTAACTTATCAAAAATTTGCATTGTTCATATAATAATTGTTAATAAAATTTAAATCAAAGATTTTCTAATATATATAAGAATTGGATATAATAATAATTATTACCTTAGCTTGCTCCCTGTCATTTTCACTTAATAATCTTTGAAAATGAATTAAAAATATATGGCGTAAATGAATTGAATTGTTTAAAATTTATTAATACTTCACTTAATCGGAAATTTGAAAATTTATAAAATATCTTTTAAATTATTAATATTTGTATTTTCAATTCTACAATTATCTTAATTATGATTTTAAATATAAAATTCACTGAACCTGATTAACCCGGGATCAAAAATATTACCATTTCGGTTCTGGTTTTTAGAAATTTTTTTAAAAGGGCTCAGATATTTGGGTTGGGAAAACATTTTCAAAATCCGAGTTTTCTGCTCCGGGTTTGGTTCGAAACCCTGCTTTTACAATAAGGTAATTGACTATTTTACAAATAATATTATCTATAATTTGTATTCTATGATAATTCATTTTTTAAATTGAATAGTTCATAAAAAATATATTGACAAAATTATTTTATTGTGCACATCTAAACATAAATTATAATAATCTGATAATAGAGAACATGCGATATTCAAGTCAATTTTTGAGGCAGAGTTTTTCATTGTTTTTTTTAAGACATACAATTTTTTATAGAAAATCAGTTTCAACTAATAAAAACCTTTCACAAGCAGTTGATGTTTACCAGTTTATTCACATCACCAATCAGATTGGCAAGTTATCAATAGAAATAACAAATGATTATATTTTATTAAAAAACATATTAATAATAATTCCGAATAATTTAAATATTCGATCAAATTATTTGAGTAAAACTGATTATTTCAATAATTTGTCGAATATGGTTTAAGCAATTTGTCAATTACAAATGACTTATTCTTCATATTCGTTACTATTCTTATTAGCGACTACTATTATTCGTTACTATTATTCTTTTTTGTAGGCTTAATTTGTATTAATTTAACAAATAATTTAATATTCATATTAATACGAATAATAAAATTTTCCAAATGTATTGACAGATTAAAAAAAAATTTCAAATCTTTTACGATTCGGCCAACCCCTTTTAAAATTGTTAAAAATTTCTGAATTTATTTAGATAGGTAAAAAAAAAGAAATCCTTTTATTTTCGCTCGCTAGCACACCTGGTTCCTGAAATACAGTGCATTAAAAGTACCAAAAATAGTGACTTTCGAATCTGTATATATCTCAAAAATTATATATAGTAAAAATCTGTATATATTCAAAAATTATATATAGTAAAAATATATATAACATAGGTGAAGAAAATTTCTAAAGGTTTATCATAAGAGAAAAAAAGTGTCAATTTGTCTTTAACTTCTTATTTACCTATATTGCTTTATCCGTGTTTTTAAGCAATAAAGGGAGTTGGTTTTCGAAATTTTTTTAGCCTTTTTTTAGATAATTTTTAGCGCCAACTATTTTATGCAAATAAAAATTTCAATTTTTGGTAAAAATGCTTATCTCGGTAGAGCCGATAGCGTCGCTAACGTTTACACATAGCATATATATTTATAAAAGGTATCTAAATAGAAGGCAATTAGCAATATTGGTTAACCGATAGTTAAAGACTCAAATTGGCGTCTAATTTTTTTTTGTGATAAACTTTTATAGATTTTTTTATGTATGATATATTATTATTTCTACTATGAATAGTTTTTGAGATATAATCATTTTAAAAATTTTACAGATTTAAAAGTCACTATTTTCGCACCTTTGAGGTCCTAATTCGGGAATCAGGTGTCCTAGATAACTAAAAACGGCTTTCTCATTTTTTACTCATCTAAACAATTCCAGAAATTTAACAATTTTAAAATAAGTTGGCCGAAAATGTGCCTTTTTTGATCGATTTGACATGGAATGACCCGCTATTAAGTTATTTAGTTTAAAGTTCTCCTCAATGAAATTGGCTGTTAGCCCTGAAAAGGGAACAACAATTGCCTGATCCTTTGTCCGACAATTATATTTGGATATTATTTTCTTTAACTGATCTTTCTGCATTTGTATGAGCTGAGCGCCAATGAAATTCGGTGGCAGACAGCACACCACCTTTTAGTCGTTATCTAGCCGCCTGAATCGGCGCATATTTTTTTAAAATTATTACTTTATAAATTCTAATTTTATAATAAACTAAAAATCTACTTCATACTCAAATTTAACCTCCGTTGCTTTATATCTCATGGCAGTTATTATAGTATTCTCGATTAATTATTAATAAAAAGCATTTATAAATGATCATGAACAAAACATAGGTGTTAATCATAACCCCCCCCCTTCCCCACTCTAATTTATCAACCCTTTTAACGTTGGGTTAATCATCTGCGAGACAATTTAAAAGATAAATTTAGGTTAAATTCTTCAATTTTTGTAAAAGTAGTTTCACCCGCATGTTTTTGAGTAATTTAGCATAGTTGCTACTAAAGGAACTGTGATAATGAGCATATGTTATAATAAAAATATTACAATACATTTATACAATTTATGAATGTTGGATTCTATTGATAAATTAGGATCATTTATAAAATCATATAAATTTATAGTTTAAAATATTTAGGATAAAATTTGTAATAGCGGAATAATAAAAAATTTCAAATGGTTTAAGGAAATTATTAAAATATATGCTCAACTATTCGTGAATATATGAAAAAAATTTCGTTAAAATTTTTGTTAAATTATTTTTTAAGTGGTTTAGATTATAAAGGACTGATGTGGGCTAACATGCGGAAATCTAATTTTTATGCCCAGCTTAGATTTGAAAAATTATATTTTTCACCTTGTCCGGCCTTAGTTAAAATTTTAAGTCAGGCCTGATATAGGTTATTAAATTTGATCATTTTATGGTTTGGCCTGATTTTTAAAAAATTTTGATCATATAATTTTGACTAAATATACAACATATTATTTTTTTAAAATAGTGACTTTTTCAAAATATAGTGTTCTAGAGGAATCTTCTTAAATAGAATAAGGATACTATGTTTTTGAAAAGGGCACATATATCTAAAAAGTTATATTTTTTTCGACTTAATTAATAAATATTATTTAAATTTATCTTTAAAAAGTTGGCTCAGGTTGTTGACTTCGTTTTGTAACTTATATTAATTTTTTTAAATTATGCCATTTATGCTCTTATTTGGTCATATGCGGAACACATGGAATACAATTAGAACAAATTCAAATCCCAAAATTGCACGTGCTATAAGTGATTAGATTCTTAAAGACTTCTCCATATTCTGAATCCTCCTCCCCACACTCTGAAACATGTAAACAGTATTCTTTAGTGAGCATGACGCCACTGGGACAGAAAATTTCTGTTATTCAAACTACCGATATATCAATGTTTTTGAAAAAGGACACTGACTTAAAAAAGACGATATTTGATAAACCTAACAATAGATTTTCTAAACTCGCTTGGAAATAATTACTAAACATTGTTTAAAGATTTGTTTGCAGTAAAAGGATTTTAGTATAAATGTTCACTATATCTTGTATAATATATATATATATACATAACATTAATTAGAACTTTTTTTTGGTGTTCACAGTAGTTATCAGAATAAATTGGCTTAGAACAGTAATTTAAAATATTATTCTTAAGGTTTCCTGAATGATAAATAAAAGAATGAAAAGGCAGTCCATGTCCTAAATCATATATTTTACGTAGGGTTTAAAAATCTTGGAAAAAGGTGCAATTCTTGAAATTATCAGGATGTTTTAAACCGAAATAAAATCTAATGAATTTTAAATGTAACTTTGAATTCAAGGAATATTTTATTAAATTTTGGAAATGATGTATCAAAATAAACTGTAAGCTATTATTATGATTACCATTCTCATATTCTTCTCTTTAGCGGATAAGAAAGAAAATAGAGAGGTCTATAAAGTTAAATAAATTTATGAAGTCTTTATATTTTATTCAAACAATTTCCAATTATTTTTAAAAATAGGTATTTTCTTCCGACAGAAAATATGTGATAACCTGCGATCGTGATGAAAAAATTAGGGTCAGTCTTTTTCCAAACTCCTACATTATCCAGAGTTTTTGCTTGGCTCATACGAAGTTTTTTTTTATTTTAAACATTCTTACGGTATAGTATTTTTATTAAAAATGGAAAATATATTTATTATAAAATCATTATCATGTTAAGGTTCGTTTCGTCTATAATCACGTGCGAATCATTGCCTGATATCCTCTTTTCCAGTTCCGGGGATGGTACTATCAAAATCTGGCAATTCATGTCTGGCACATTACTTTATAGTCGTTCATTAAACTCGGATCTTGAGAAAGAACGATTCTTAAATGCTAATGAGACCAATTCCTGTATCGTGTTAAAATTAGACATTAAAGTAGTTCATCATGCCAAAGAATCTATTATTAAAAATTCCACAATCCTATTAGCCGCCCTCGTTCATATATCAAAGTAAAAATTGACTGGTTTATATATGACCTCCTAGTTCACTTCATTTAGCACTGCTAACGCTTTCAATGTTAAAAGATTGAATATATAACTTTTAATATTGCGAAGTGTGTTAGAACGAATCTTAATATGAAAAATGTTACATATTTTATCGTTATCTTTTTCCGCTCAATTTTTTCATGAAAATCCATTTAAAAAAATAAAAATAATATACTTTTTTTTAAAAAAACACCTGAAGCCCTAAACTAAATTTATATATATGGGGAATTCCATAACAAATCAAAAGAAAAACACGATTCTCAACCCGCCCCCCTCAGATTTTCCTAATATTTTTACATGAGTTTGTATATATTATAACTAAGAAAAAAATAAAATTTTAGCTTCCAATTCTAAACAGCGGCTGAGATACGGGCCTCTAAATGTTCGAAAAAATGGGGCATATTAGGCAAAATGCTCTCCCTTTAATTTTAAATATCCTTGGATATAATTGAGCTAAAAGTGTCATTAATTTCTTAGTTTAGTTTAATGTAGACCTTAAAAAGTTATACAATGTTAATTATTTTTAAAAAATTTTAAGCGTCAAAAACTGGAAATAGAAAACCGGGAATCGTCATAAAATCAAATCGGCATTTTTTTTCTCTCATTTTTTTTATGTATAGATATAGGATTAAAAATAATTAAGCAGATTTTCAAGTTTGCAAATTTTATCGTTAATGATTTTTTCTGGTTAATCATCCAAGGAAGTAGATTTCTTAGGTCTTTACAACGTATATTTTATTAAAATTATTCGAATTTTAGTAATGAAATAAATATATTAAACCCCCCCCCCCCCCTTATTTTTTCCCCTTAAAAATCAGAGGCCTGTATTTTAATTTTTTAAAATATACTCGGGCCAGGCCTAAATCTTTTATTTCAAAAATGCTGAGCTCGGCCTAATCTAAAATTTTGCATAATAAGTTCTAAATCCATATATAAAAAAAAATTGGAGAAAAAAAACACCGATTTAATTTTATGATAATTTTCTTGACATTTAAATTTTTTAACAATATTAAACATTATCTAACTTTAAAGGCCTACTATTAGGCTATATAAAGAATTTTTAATGACGCTTTTATCTCAATTAATATTTAAAGATATTTGAAATTAAAGGGAGAGCATTTTGTCCAAATGGCTTATTTTTTCGACCTTTAGAGGCCCTTATCTCAGCCGCTGTTTGGAGTTGGAGTTTAAAATTTTTTTTCTTCTAAGTTATAATATATGGAAACCAGTAAAGATTTTAGAAAAATCTCAGGGGGTCAGGTTGATACTTATGTTGATTTGTCATGGGATTCATAATATATAAAATAGATGGATGGATGTATTTAAATTTTACTCACCCAAATTTAAAAATATAGTTTCTCATTTTAATTCGACGATTTTCAATGCTTATCCCTAGGGGGAGGAGGTCATTTGCTTAAAAAAAATGTGAAAATTCCGAATAAATTTATTTAATTTACATCTTGTTATATAACAAATGTTAATCGGAGATATGCAGAAGTCGAGTTTTTAGTCTGGTTGAATTTAAAAACTTTTATATCTCAAAAAAAATTCTTTACATGCACAATAATTAGTCTTTTAAGTTTATATTTTCATTTAAACAATTGTATTTGTAATTTAATTTTGCTAGATAAGGGTTTTGTATCAGATAAACAAATCGGAAAAATTTTCTTCTAGCAATATTAAATTTTTGGATCAAAAATTACAAAATCAAATGTTTAAATGAAAATATATTTGAAATTTTTTTTTTATTGTGCATGTAGATGAGATAATATATAAAAATTGATATCTTAAAAATAATATGATTTACAAATAACTTCCAAATAAATTGCACATTTTGAAAGTAAAGAATTTATATTTAACTAACATATTTTATTAAATAAATGAAAAATTTCTGAATCACCTCTCATCAAAAAGTTTTTTATTTATATCATTTTGAAATAATTATGCGGTATCATATTTATAATGAGATTAAGGATTCGTTATTTTTTTAAATTTAATTCCAAATTTTAAATTATGGTTTATTTAATTTTTTAAAATCAAATTTTTTGATTTATACCATCAATTTATATGATATATTTATTAATATTAAAGTGGAGTACCTTCAAAATGCATGAAAAAGTAAATTTTAAATATTTTACAAATATAAGTAAATCAAATTTATAATTTGAAAGATAGGTTTCTTTATATAACAAAAATTTTAATTGCTTACAAGTGTAGCTAAGGATAGTACATAAAAAATGGCGAGAATATGGAATACTTTTAGTATAAGTTCTCATTTAGGAAATATTTTAAGTCTAAAGACGAGTTTCTCATATATTTATTCTACTATAAGGATTTAGAGATAAAAATTGTAAAGATAACATTTTAAGGATTTAGGGATAAAAATTGTAAAGATAACATTTTAATGATTTAGAGATAAAAATTGTAAAGATAACTTTAACTAAATGTAAAATTTATCAAGAAATTTGACAAAATATTTTATTAAAAAGTTATAAATATAAGCCTCAAAAGATCTTTTAAAAGATATCAGCTTCTATAGAAAGAATACTTTACTTGTTTGGTCTAGGTGAATTAAAATGTATGAAAAAGCTGAAAAATTAGTTTTTCTTTTTAAATATTTAATGATCAAATTTTATATATTTCATATAATTTTTACTTAACTGCTAAATTAAGTTTAAATAATATTCAAAGGTATTTGTTGTAAAATGTAAAGTGATTTTTATTTAAATCAATGATTTTTATTTCTATACCCAGCTTTAAACTCACTTATCTTATTCTAAAGAATGGTAATAGATAGTTCACTCCAACATTAAGGTGAGGATAGCATATATTACCAGTATTTATAAATATAACATAATTGAATCTTTTTAAAGCACCGGGGAAAAAATAATTATATACACCGTTGAAATATCTTCCGATGATTACGACCTAAAGCCTCTTCAAATCATACAACCACCTTTCGAAATTAATAATTGTAAACACAATCACATTGTTGATTTCAGATTTGGCCTTGACATTTCCCCATCCGATAATAACATTAAATTGTACACACTGTGCTCTAACGAAAACATGTTTGAAGAAGTACTTGATGATGTTAACCATGATCCATTAGATAAAGATAGTGGTGATATTTTATCGAAATCCTTATTTACTTTCAGTCATAATCCGGTATTTTGACATTCCATACAATAATTTAAAAGCGATATGGGAATAGTTCCTCATCATATGAATTAAAAGGATAGTAGTTCTAATCCTACTAAATATAAGTGTTTCACTAACTTTATTTTTCAACCAAAAATGGATATAAAATCAGATTTTTTGAATTTGCTATTCTGTTTCTTTCCAAATCTTAGATTTTAGCATTTCCAAACTCTAGTTAAAACCCTATAATAATCAACCTATTTCTTAAGTTCTTTGTTTTAATTTAAATAATAAAAAATATTGTGTTATTTTAAACCAAAATTTTGTTCTATTCTTGGAGGCTGTTTCCAAAATTTGAATTTTTCTTAAAATTTTTTAAAACTTTAATGAAAATAAATAAATAAGCTTCTTTTTTTATTTATCATGATTGAACGTGAATAGAAATTTTGCTTTTAATCACGGTAAATTGAATTTTTAAAATTGTTTTCTAGAAATATAACCTTAATATTATATATATTTTTTAAATAAATTTGTTTAAAAAGTTATATCCTTGAAAACAGAACTGTAATTTTAAATCCTTTCTTTTTTGATTTTTCATTTTCAAATTTATAAGTATAACGTGAGTTGTGAATCCTTAATTACTAATTATAGTAGATGGTTTAGTATTATTTTGTTTGTTATTTGTGTCGAATTATGGAAATAAAAACGCTGAATTGAATTTTTGGAGCGTGATCAAAATTTTGTCTTTCATGAGTTAGTTAGCGGGAAATTGCGTATTGGGCGTTAATAGGAGTGAATTTTTTTTAGCACCAGCGTGAGTAGGCTAGTCGTAAAAACTAGAGATTTGCACATTAGGCCCTGCCCGAAATTAAGAATCTTTTTGTCATAGCTCTAACCAAAATTAGGCTCACCTAAAACCAAAATAAATTTAGACCCCGGGGTTAAGGTCGGGTCGGGCCTTGCAGATCATTTAGAAACCAGAACGTATTTTATATTTTACAGGAAAATCGGGTTTAATAAAGATGTAACTAATTTATATACTTTTTAAATTGCACGTGATTTATTTTAGAGCGAGGTTTAAGGAATTTTTTAAAAAAAATATATATACAAAGCTTTGCAGATTTATAATTATATTGCTTATTTTTTAAAAAATATTCATATAAATTTTAGATTGATGATAACTTTACATTAGATAATCCACTTAATCAGGAGAATGTATCGAGGAAAAATTTAGAATACCGATTGATGGAAAGTATAATATATAAAACTTTTAAATATCACGCGAAAAGTGAAACAATGTTAAAAAATTTTTTTATAACTTATTACAGAACTTCTTTTTTCGAGAGGGAAAGATTTTTATGAAGACCTTTGCAAAGAAGATAAATATGGCAATCCTACAGATGAATATTCCCATAGGAAAAAAATTAGAAAAAATATTTTAAAATCCGTTGGCTAAAATAAAATAAAAATTGTTTTATTAAAATAATTGTATTAATCCTAGTGAGCTATTTTTTTTATAAAATCCTTATCTTACTCCCACCCATAGTTTGAATAATTTGCCACGTTAAAAATTTATTTTTTCTCTTAAAATAACATATGTTTATATTTTTATAATATAGAGTTGGAGGTTAGAAAATTTGGTGCTCTACTTTATTGACTCCGGTTTTTAGAAATTTTTTAAGACTTAAATCATTTTTATCGCGTGTTTTTTAATTTCGAATGCCCTCTTTTAATTTGCCAAGTTCTTATCCCAGCATAAATAGAGTAGAGGTGGGTACGGCACAAACTAGCCCCTGGAACTTTTCAAAAAGTTCGGTCCGGCCCATAAAATAATTTTAAACAAGTTTCCCGCAATTTTTTCTTATGAAAAATTGGCTTAAATTTACCTAATTAACAATCTTAAAAACATTTTCATAGCTTTGGTCCGGCCCGTTTTTCCACAATTTGTTTGGTCTACGGCCCAGATTTTTGGGCCGGGCCAATCTCTAGCACTAAATGCTTAGTCTCTCAATCTGAGATATATCAATAAATTTTTGTATATTTTTAAATTTATATGGGGAAAAATATGTACAAATTAAGAGTAGTTCATTTTTCAATATTAAGAATGCACGCCAAGAACGGACTGGCAACGCTTTGGTCTCGTGGTCAAAATTTTATAGGAGCAATAGGGAGTTTCTTCCTCATATCCCTTATTTTCGCTTTTTCCCAGTCCGCGGAGTCTCCGTTAAAGGCCCTGTTTTTATTATTTCTTATATTTTTGTGTAAAAACATGTTAAAACAATCAGTTAAAAAATATATTTCAACCAGTAAAACTTGTCTAGACTTTTGATAATTTGAAAAACTCTCTAATTTGACAAAAAACTAAAATTTTGAGTCATGATCCAATTCTAAAGTTTTGATAAATTCAATGTCTAAGTTGGGCAAAAATCTTCACCCCAATGGTACGAACCCAAATTAGAGGAAATTACTCTAAGAAGATTAAGGATTGCACGTATAAAAAATTCCAAAACGACCATAGAGGAATTAGAAAAATTTATTGGCCTCATTGTTGCACTCGGGTTATGTTGTAGATATCATCCTACTTTTGAAAGTAACTATCGCTACCGCTATTTTACAAAAAGAGTAGCGCGTTACCGCTAAGGTTTAAAAAAGTTATTTGCTGCTTTTTACTCTACTTTCATATTTTTTTTAAAATATTTTTTTTACTTATCTCTATTTCCACAGATAAAAAAATATGACTTAAATTTCAAATATATATAAATTTTTTTATTGCATCTCTATAATAATATTTCCATTAGAGGTCTACAAATCCCTGCGCTTACTCGAGCCGGGTTTATTTTTAAAAAATAATTTAGGGTCTGGCTTGGCCTATAATTTTTAAAAAAAATATCGGACCTGGCTGGGTCAGGCTTAAATTTTTAAATATGATAACATTACATTTTGTCAAATAATTTAATAAAATTCTTGCAAGAAAGGCGCTAATTTTTTATTTGTAGAATATTTTTTTTTACAAACAAAAAAATGTAAAATTTTTCTATGTTTAAATAAATTCGGACCGTGCCAAGCTGACAAATAATTTTTATTTTGGGTCGGGTTTTTTCGGGACAAATAAAGAAAATTTCGTTAGGGATCGGGCTGGGCAGGACAAATTTTTTAAAAAAAATATTTGGGCCGTGTAAAATTAGGCTCGATGCAGACATTTCCATATTGTCATCTTCAAATCAAGAGCGACGATCAGAAAGTATAAGCTATAACTAAATATTTCAACACTAACATGCAATGCAGTATTAATGAATATACATTTTTTTTATATAAGAAAGATTTAAACAAATGCGTTGTAAAGATTTTCAGTACTATTATTATTTATTCAAAAGAATTATCCATATTAGATAACGTTTTTGATCGGATCAGTCTAAAATTATAATAGTAATTGTTAGTATAGAAATTAAGTAATGATGCCAACTGCCTAGGTTAACCCCCCCCCCCCTTCACTTTTTATCTATTGAACCAATTTAAGGATTGAAATAAAAGTATTTTCTGGCATGTTTTGATAAAATTTATAAATACATAAATAGACGAGGTGTTAATTTAAGCATGTTTAACATCTAAGTAATAATTTATATAATATAATCATTAAAAAGATGAGTCTGATGATAAAATGAAATGTTAATATTAATTAATTATTGAAATTTTTAATTTATAATATAATTCTTGAAACATAACATGTTTGGAATCGGCCAGAAAATCAACTTTCACATATACTCATCGAGTCAAATCTATTATGGATACAGCTTTGATTCAAATTTTATTTGAAAGATTAAGGATTGGACTACGCATTGATATTAAATTTATTGTTGTATATATTACTTTTAGATGCTTTCTCGTTGAAGCGACTGTCTTATTGGATGATAAAGCCTTCAGGCACATCTTACAAAATTATGTAAAATATCAATCTCATCATCGATATTTTAATTACTTTAAAAACTAGATTTATAATGGAGATTTTTAAATATAAATTTCAAAATTAAATTAAATAAAAAGATTATGATTTTAGAATTAAATTTATATTTTAACAATTTTATTACTATTTTTTTTAAAGTAGTGCGCTAAAGCTACCGCTACTGAATAAAATAGCGCCTATTTTAACAATCCGTTGAAAATCGTCTAAACTATAAAAAGGATATTATTCGAATTCTAGTAATTTTGTGTTATTTCTAAAATATAGAATTGATTTATTGAAAATTGTATAAAATCATATTGCCCATCACAAAATCTTACTGCTTTAACGCAGCTAGTCTCATGTAAAGCAAAATGCAAATTTAGTATATGGCTAATAAGTCTGCTCATTTTTGCAAGGATTTTCCGAAAATCCTTTGCAGACATAATCATTTTCGTATTTAAAAAAATATAATTCTCATGATGTTATTAACCATAATTTAAATAAGAAACTCCTCGAAACTTTATTTACAGTTAGCCAGGAAATAGATTAATTTGTTTCAAAGTGTATATCAAAAATACATGCATAGCCACCTTATCCTATAGAAGCAAAAAGAATAAGAACGTTCATATTCTTAGCACATTGCATAAAATGTATTCTTAGAAGAAACAATACAAAAAAGAAACCCGAAAAGATTCATTTTTACAATAAAATTAAGTAGAAGTTGTGGATCAGATGACTATTACATTTAAAAAAGTCTAGAAGTGGGAGATAGCCCATCATATTTTTTTTAAATATTATAGATCTAGTCCATTCATAATAAATTATTGATTTATCTACAAAATAAGTATGTTACCTTATGAAGTTGATACGAATAAAAATATAAAAAGGTGATTAATTCAGACAAGTAGGAGATGTCTATTCTATGTAACAAAAATCAAATTACTAATAAGTATTCTAATTGTAAAAAACCTGTATTCCTAAAATGGGAGATAAAATGTGACATATGTTATGGATACCTAATAGATATTTTATTTTTTAATTATATGCCAATTTTTGTTTAAATTTTTTTCACACCTAATATGCAAAATTAGGTGTGAAAATTTTTAAAAATTAGATTATTATATAAAAACAATCGACAGTTATAGAGGTTATATATGTAGGGCAAGATTTTAGTTTAATATATTTATATTTACATCAAGAATTTAAAGTAAAATTTTATGAATAGAATGTAAATTAATATATTTGTATAAAATGCATGAATTAATTTTCTTAGTATCATAATGTTAAATATTAATATTTATTTAAATAAGGGCAAATTAAAATATTTATAGAGATTCATCCATATAATAAAAAATATTAATTAAGATAATTTTTTTATAGAAGATTATCTATAATTATAAAGGTAGCATTTCAAATTAGAGTGGAATAGATAATCAAAAATGTACTGGAAAATATTCAGCAGCTGACAGATTTTTCTAATCATTTAACAAAAAGTTTTGCTTAAATTTTTAAAATTGAATGAGAAGGAAAGCGCAAGAAACGAAGATTAAAAAAAAACGAATACGCCCTAGTTCAAAATTCATCTAAAATAAAGGAATCCCTTTCATCAGATATTTTTAAAGAACGAATTTTATTCATAAATGTGTTCAATTTGAATGTGTATTTATTTATAACATATACAATGTATAAAAGTTAGATATTAATAATTTGTAATAAACAGAAGCATAATATTAAACGTAATTTATGTAATACTTCTAAAAAAATTAAATTATAATTTACTTTGAAATGCATGAAAAACAAAATCTGGAGGTTCAATGTGACCCCGCCCTCTCCCCCATTCTTAGAGGTCTGGATCTGATTAATTCACCATCAAAAGGATAAAAACAAAAATAGTTTCATTTATTATTCATAAGATAATTATGGCATCGAATTTTAATAAAAATTGTGATTTTATATCGCAATAAGCAAAATCATTGTTTAAAGAAAAGGTTCCAGTAAAATTGAAAGAAAATTAACCCAATTGGAAAAATTACCTTAGATATCGCAAGCGAATATATAGTGGTGATCTCATAATATTTGAAGAAAAGTAAACCAATAAAAAATTATTACATTTGTTTCATATATAATAAGTGGTTAATGTCTATACGGTGAAAAATTTAGCTTGAAGTGCATTACCGGTAAAAGGTCTACGAATGCATTACCTTGAATATAATATGGCAGAATTAATATCGCGAATGCATTTGCGCGAATATATTACAACGAAAATATAGCAAATGTTTTACAGCGAAAACGTTATCGCGAATGTATTACAGTGAAAATATTAGAGCTAATGCGTTACAGCGAATGCATTATCGCAAATGAATTGCCTCAGTTGCAATATATTAATGCAGCTTTACGAAAATTACATTTTTATATTTATTGGCCATTAGACTGACTTAGTAGAATCTAAAGATGGACCTAAAGACGGACTTGGGTCTAAAAACCATAATTTTGAAAGTTTGAGCTCCGACCTTTTA